AGAAAGATGGGCGGAGATGGGAGAAAGATGGGCGGAGATGGGAGAAAGATGGGCGGAGATGGGAGAAAGATGGGCGGAGATGGGAGAAAGATGGGCGGAGATGGGAGAAAGATGGGCGGAGATGGGAGAAAGATGGGCGGAGATGGGAGAAAGATGGGCGGAGATGGGAGAAAGATGGGCGGAGATGGGAGAAAGATGGGCGGAGATGGGAGAAAGATGGGCGGAGATGGGAGAAAGATGGGCGGAGATGGGAGAAAGATGGGCGGAGATGGGAGAAAGATGGGCGGAGATGGGAGAAAGATGGGCGGAGATGGGAGAAAGATGGGCGGAGATGGGAGAAAGATGGGCGGAGATGGGAGAAAGATGGGCGGAGATGGGAGAAAGATGGGCGGAGATGGGAGAAAGATGGGCGGAGATGGGAGAAAGATGGGCGGAGATGGGAGAAAGATGGGCGGAGATGGGAGAAAGATGGGCGGAGATGGGAGAAAGATGGGCGGAGATGGGAGAAAGATGGGCGGAGATGGGAGAAAGATGGGCGGAGATGGGAGAAAGATGGGCGGAGATGGGAGAAAGATGGGCGGAGATGGGAGAAAGATGGGCGGAGATGGGAGAAAGATGGGCGGAGATGGGAGAAAGATGGCGGAGATGGGAGAAAGATGGGCGGAGATGGGAGAAAGATGGGCGGAGATGGGAGAAAGATGGGCGGAGATGGGAGAAAGATGGGCGGAGATGGGAGAAAGATGGGCGGAGATGGGAGAAAGATGGGCGGAGATGGGAGAAAGATGGGCGGAGATGGGAGAAAGATGGGCGGAGATGGGAGAAAGATGGGCGGAGATGGGAGAAAGATGGGCGGAGATGGGAGAAAGATGGGCGGAGATGGGAGAAAGATGGGCGGAGATGGGAGAAAGATGGGCGGAGATGGGAGAAAGATGGGCGGAGATGGGAGAAAGATGGGCGGAGATGGGAGAAAGATGGGCGGAGATGGGAGAAGATGGGCGGAGATGGGAGAAAGATGGGCGGAGATGGGAGAAAGATGGGCGGAGATGGGAGAAAGATGGGCGGAGATGGGAGAAAGATGGGCGGAGATGGGAGAAAGATGGGCGGAGATGGGAGAAAGATGGGCGGAGATGGGAGAAAGATGGGCGGAGATGGGAGAAAGATGGGCGGAGATGGGAGAAAGATGGGCGGAGATGGGAGAAAGATGGGCGGAGATGGGAGAAAGATGGGCGGAGATGGGAGAAAGATGGGCGGAGATGGGAGAAAGATGGGCGGAGATGGGAGAAAGATGGGCGGAGATGGGAGAAAGATGGGCGGAGATGGGAGAAAGATGGGCGGAGATGGGAGAAAGATGGGCGGAGATGGGAGAAAGATGGGCGGAGATGGGAGAAAGATGGGCGGAGATGGGAGAAAGATGGGCGGAGATGGGAGAAAGATGGGCGGAGATGGGAGAAAGATGGGCGGAGATGGGAGAAAGATGGGCTGAGATGGGAGAAAGATGGGCGGAGATGGGAGAAAGATGGGCGGAGATGGGAGAAAGATGGGCGGAGATGGGAGAAAGATGGGCGGAGATGGGAGAAAGATGGGCGGAGATGGGAGAAAGATGGGCGGAGATGGGAGAAAGATGGGCGGAGATGGGAGAAAGATGGGCGGAGATGGGAGAAAGATGGGCGGAGATGGAGAAAGATGGGCGGAGATGGGAGAAAGATGGGCGGAGATGGGAGAAAGATGGGCGGAGATGGGAGAAAGATGGGCGGAGATGGGAGAAAGATGGGCGGAGATGGGAGAAAGATGGGCGGAGATGGGAGAAAGATGGGCGGAGATGGGAGAAAGATGGGCGGAGATGGGAGAAAGATGGGCTGAGATGGGAGAAAGATGGGCGGAGATGGGAGAAAGATGGGCGGAGATGGGAGAAAGATGGGCGGAGATGGGAGAAAGATGGGCGGAGATGGGAGAAAGATGGGCGGAGATGGGAGAAAGATGGGCGGAGATGGGAGAAAGATGGGCGGAGATGGGAGAAAGATGGGCGGAGATGGGAGAAAGATGGGCGGAGATGGGAGAAAGATGGGCGGAGATGGGAGAAAGATGGGCGGAGATGGGAGAAAGATGGGCGGAGATGGGAGAAAGATGGGCGGAGATGGGAGAAAGATGGGCGGAGATGGGAGAAAGATGGGCTGAGATGGGAGAAAGATGGGCGGAGATGGGAGAAAGATGGGCGGAGATGGGAGAAAGATGGGCGGAGATGGGAGAAAGATGGGCGGAGATGGGAGAAAGATGGGCGGAGATGGGAGAAAGATGGGCGGAGATGGAGAGAAGATGGGCGGAGATGGGAGAAAGATGGGCGGAGATGGGAGAAAGATGGGCGGAGATGGGAGAAAGATGGGCGGAGATGGGAGAAAGATGGGCGGAGATGGGAGAAAGATGGGCGGAGATGGGAGAAAGATGGGCGGAGATGGGAGAAAGATGGGCGGATGGGAGAAAGATGGGCTGAGATGGGAGAAAGATGGGCGGAGATGGGAGAAAGATGGGCGGAGATGGGAGAAAGATGGGCGGAGATGGGAGAAAGATGGGCGGAGATGGGAGAAAGATGGGCGGAGATGGGAGAAAGATGGGCGGAGATGGGAGAAAGATGGGCGGAGATGGGAGAAAGATGGGCGGAGATGGGAGAAAGATGGGCTGAGAACAGGGGGAGGGGAGAGTGTTGGGAAGGAGCAGTGCTCTCCTGGCCGTCCACAGCCCCGTACAGGTCGATCGATACGTCCGCTGGCTGGCTGCAGGTCGTCTGTGAGGTCCTGCCCCGTTGCTGCCAGGTTGATCTTGCCTATACGGTTCATCTGCATTATGGGGAGGGGGTGACTGCTGTTGTGCCTGTTGTGACTACTGTGCACTGGCTGCTGCCTGGAGGTTCATCTGTGAATCTGGCCCCATCCCTGCCAGTTTCTCGATTTTTGAGTCGACTCAAAAGTGACTGCTGTTGTGCCTGTTGTGACTATTGTGCACTGGCTGCTGGCTGGAGGTCATCTGAGAATCCGGCCCCATCGCTCCCAGATTATCTTGCCTATGCGATGCAGTTCACCTGAGCGAGAGGGAGTCGGGATGGAGGTTTGCAAAGAAGTGAGATCGCAAGCAGATGGTGAAGTGGAAAGGGGGGTGGCAAGGGGGATGGAGAGTAAGGAGGCAGAAAAATCTGCAAGTGGCGATTGAGGAGGGAAGGGGAAGTGTGCGGAAGGCAGGCAGACAAGCAGTGCACAAATTGCGTGCACCGTGAGGCGGTTTTTGAGAATTCTCAAAAACCAACTCGTATTTTGAGAATTCTCAAAAACCAACTCGTATTTTGAGAATTCTCAAAAACCAACTCGTATTTTGAGAATTCTCAAAAACCAACTCGTATTTTGAGAATTCTCAAAAACCAACTCGTATTTTGAGAATTCTCAAAAACCAACTCGTATTTTGAGAATTCTCAAAAACCAACTCGTATTTTGAGAATTCTCAAAAACCAACTCGTATTTTGAGAATTCTCAAAAACCAACTCGTATTTTGAGAATTCTCAAAAACCAACTCGTATTTTGAGAATTCTCAAAAACCAACTCGTATTTTGAGAATTCTCAAAAACCAACTCGTATTTTGAGAATTCTCAAAAACCAACTCGTATTTTGAGAATTCTCAAAAACCAACTCGTATTTTGAGAATTCTCAAAAACCAACTCGTATTTTGAGAATTCTCAAAAACCAACTCGTATTTTGAGAATTCTCAAAAACCAACTCGTATTTTGAGAATTCTCAAAAACCAACTCGTATTTTGAGAATTCTCAAAAACCAACTCGTATTTTGAGAATTCTCAAAAACCAACTCGTATTTTGAGAATTCTCAAAAACCAACTCGTATTTTGAGAATTCTCAAAAACCAACTCGTATTTTGAGAATTCTCAAAAACCAACTCGTATTTTGAGAATTCTCAAAAACCAACTCGTATTTTGAGAATTCTCAAAAACCAACTCGTATTTTGAGAATTCTCAAAAACCAACTCGTATTTTGAGAATTCTCAAAAACCAACTCGTATTTTGAGAATTCTCAAAAACCAACTCGTATTTTGAGAATTCTCAAAAACCAACTCGTATTTTGAGAATTCTCAAAAACCAACTCGTATTTTGAGAATTCTCAAAAACCAACTCGTATTTTGAGAATTCTCAAAAACCAACTCGTATTTTGAGAATTCTCAAAAACCAACTCGTATTTTGAGAATTCTCAAAAACCAACTCGTATTTTGAGAATTCTCAAAAACCAACTCGTATTTTGAGAATTCTCAAAAACCAACTCGTATTTTGAGAATTCTCAAAAACCAACTCGTATTTTGAGAATTCTCAAAAACCAACTCGTATTTTGAGAATTCTCAAAAACCAACTCGTATTTTGAGAATTCTCAAAAACCAACTCGTATTTTGAGAATTCTCAAAAACCAACTCGTATTTTGAGAATTCTCAAAAACCAACTCGTATTTTGAGAATTCTCAAAAACCAACTCGTATTTTGAGAATTCTCAAAAACCAACTCGTATTTTGAGAATTCTCAAAAACCAACTCGTATTTTGAGAATTCTCAAAAACCAACTCGTATTTTGAGAATTCTCAAAAACCAACTCGTATTTTGAGAATTCTCAAAAACCAACTCGTATTTTGAGAATTCTCAAAAACCAACTCGTATTTTGAGAATTCTCAAAAACCAACTCGTATTTTGAGAATTCTCAAAAACCAACTCGTATTTTGAGAATTCTCAAAAACCAACTCGTATTTTGAGAATTCTCAAAAACCAACTCGTATTTTGAGAATTCTCAAAAACCAACTCGTATTTTGAGAATTCTCAAAAACCAACTCGTATTTTGAGAATTCTCAAAAACCAACTCGTATTTTGAGAATTCTCAAAAACCAACTCGTATTTTGAGAATTCTCAAGAAGGCAGGCAGACAAGCAGTGCACAGATTGCGTGCACCGTGAGGCGGCTGGCATTCAATTCAACTCACATCCGCTATTCTCTGTGCGTTGATCTCCTTGCTGCGTGCCTCTGCCTCCTCGTCTGGGGGGTCCAGGAACGGATACCTGCCACACACGCACGAGACCACACAGGGCCAAACGCAGGGTAAGCTTGTTTACTCTTAGAACTATTTTCCAGAGCAGATATTTCTATTCTCACAAACACAGTGCGGCGAGCTGCAGCACCACATTGCTCTTGGTGCACTCAGCCGCCAACACAGACAGGCTGTCTGGTACGATGTGAGCTGAGCGGTTCTTGAGAGACACCACTCTGAAACAAAACAAATAACAACACCACAAATATCTCAACACGCAGCTCACAGTGCAGCGAGCTGCACCACGTTGCTCTTGAGGCAGTTGGCCGCCAGCACAAACAGGCTGTCCGGTATGCGCCCCTCCGCCCCGCTCCCACCCTCCCCCTTCTCCCCCGCTTCACCGTCACCACCTGCTCCCCCTGCCCCCGCTTTCCCTGCACTTCCTTTCTCTCCCCCTGCAACCCCCTTGCTGTTCCCTCCGCCCTCCTTCCCCCCTTTGCTTCCCACGGCAGCAGCAGCAGCGGCAGCAGCAGCGGTGGCGGTGAGGCTGTGGTAGTGACTGAACTTGAAGCCGAGAATTTGAGGCGCGTGCAACTGTTGGGAGAAGGGAGCAGGGGAGGAGGGGAGGGAGCCAAGGGGGAGGTGTGACATGTTAGCTTCTTGCTGCTACCCGCAGCAGCAGTAGCAGTGAGGCGGTGGTAGTGGCTGAACTTGAAGCCGAGGATCTGGGGCGCGTGTGACTGAGGGGGGCATGGGAGGGAGCCGGAGGTGGAAGAGTGTGTCTTCAAGATGACAAACCAGCAGGTAGAACCACATTAGTCTTTGCAGCACAACACCGCAAAGCACGGCATGGCAGAAATCTACAAAGCACTGCGGAGCACATCACCGCACAGCACAGCACAGCACAGCACAGCACATCACAGCACAGCACAGCACAGCACAGCACAGCACAGCACAGCACAGCACAGCACAGCACAGCACAGCACCGCACCGCACCGCACAGCACAGCACAGCACAGCACCGCACCGCACCGCACAGCACAGCACAGCACAGCACAGCACCGCACCGCACCGCACAGCACCGCAACGCACCGCACCGCACCGCACCGCACAGCACAGCACAGCACCGCACCGCACCGCACCGCACCGCACAGCACAGCACAGCACAGCACAGCACCGCACAGCACAGCACAGCACAGCACAGCACAGCACAGCACAGCACCGCTGTCAGGGAAGAGCTTGACGAGGTGGAGGAAGGCAGAGTTGGTGGGCTGCATCTCGTAGCAGTCCAACACCTGGTGTGATGTGAGAGGGGCATGGAGCGAGCGGCAGAAAGGAAGAGCACGGCTTAGGGGTGACAGTGAGTCGATTGAAAACGCATCTCGTAGCAGTCCAGCACCTGGTGTGATGTGAGAGAGGCGTGGGGTGAGATGTGCATGGGGTGAGAGAGGCAGAGAGGGAGAACAGACAGCGAACCGGAACAGGGTTCAGGGGCAGCAGCATGCGGAGAGGGAGAGAGCATGGCGACATAGGACACAGAGAGACGGAGCGTATAAGAGAGGCGACTGCGGCGAAAGAGTTTGTATGTACATGCACGATGGCATGACATGGCATGGCATGGCATGGCATGGCATGACATGGCATGGCATGGCATGGCATGGCAGTGGTGATATACTCACAATGTCAAACACTCGGTTTGGGTCCAGGTCAAAGAGGCCGATGAGTGACTGGCAGGGAATGGCAACGCAGACAGGAGAAGGGATGGGATGGGGGGAGTGGAGAGAGGAGAGGAGCGTCGAGGAAAATACGAGACACACGCATGACTGACAGTCAGAAAAAGAGGGAAAGAGAGCACAACAGGCAACAGCGGCTGAGCAAGAGCGAGAGCTTCGTCTGTGACTGTCTGTATACAACAGCAACAATCGCAAATTACTTTCGAGTCGACTCAAAAGCAGCTTCGTTCGGCGACTGTCTGTATACAACAGCAACAATCGCAGATTACTTTCAAACACCGGGCACTAGAGTACTACTACTAGCAGCCACTCACTCACCTTCACAGCGTCCACCACAGCGCTCGCTGACCGTGAGTTGAGCCCCAGCGGGCCCTTCTGACTCAGTATGGTGATCTGCCAGCCAGCACGGAGCGAGGGAGAGGGAACAAGACGTAAAATTACATATCATTGAGTTAGAACAACAAGAAGGATACTTGACTTGACAGAACACACATAGAATCACAGAACGAGGTGCCTCAAGTCTTTGAGCCTCGAATCGATACGTCATTCACAAAGCAACGAGCCAATCAGGTCCGCCCTCTCACTTCTCCTCTCCAACGCCACCTCCCCATTCTGCAGTGAGGCTTTCCTCCCCTCCTCGGCGACCCCCCATCGCTCCCTTACCATACCAGTTTCGCCTATCCCTCGGAGTCCTCTCAGAGCAAGTTGAACTTGGTCTGTGTCACACACACGGCATCTTTCAGTCTCTCCATCACTGCCTCACCAGCTTTGCGTATCCCTCGGAGTCCTCTCGGAGCAGGTTGAACTTGGTCTGCGTGTACACCAGGCGCGTGTTCACTCGCACCTGCCAGGAAAACGATACGAGGAGGGGCACATGTGGTGTGGAGGACAGGGAAGGGCGTGGAGGAGAAGGACGGGCACAGTCAGTATCTGAATCACCTCAAATGATTGGCCTGCATGTATGCCAAGTGCCTGTTCCCTTGCACCTGCTAGAGAAATCAGGGATGTCAGCAGAGCAGGGAAGAGAAGAGGCGGCGGACGATGCTATTCATAAATGCTGCAGATTGTTTTTAATGCTATCCATAAATGCTGCAAAAACAACCAAGAGAACAGGCGGACGATGCTATTCATTAATGAAAGCACTGTCGGGCAGAGGCTCCCACCCCACCTGGCTTCCAATGGTCGAAAAAACGAGGCAGCTATACGAGGAGACGGAGGAAGAGGGTCGGCCGCGCACAGGCAGGCACAAAACAAGGCAACAGAACAGGTGTGTGTGCAAGCAGGCACAGCAGCAGTCGGGGGGCAGGCGGGTGGATGGGCGGGCGGTAGAGAGCAGGCTTACGCATTTCTTCTTGAGCTCCGAAGGTTCCATCTTGATCAGCTCCGCCTCCCACAGCAGCTCCTCCTGGTGAAGCGGTGGGGGTGAGGGCAAGGTAGCATGGTGAGAGACAGAAGCGGGCATGAGGCGTGGGGGTTTATGCTCGCCGTTTTCAGCTCCAAAGGTTCCATCTTGATCAGCTCCGCCTCCCACGGCCACAGCAGCTCCTCCTGGTGGCGCGGAGGGGAGGTAGCAGAGGGGTGGCATGGGGTGGGGAGAGAGAGACAGCAGCAGGCAGGCGGTGAGAGGATTGACGGCAGGGCTTATGCACGCCGCCTTGAGCTCCAAAGGTTCCATCTTGATCAGCTCCGCCTCCCACAACAGCTCCACCTGGTGTCGCAGAGCACGTGGGTGGAGAGAGGCGGCACGGCACAGGGAGAGAGGGTTGGAGGGGGAGGTAGCAAAGGAGGGAAGGTGAGGGGGAAGTAGCAAGGGGAGGGGGAAGGCGAGGGGAAAGTAGCAGGGAATGGGAAGGTGGGGGGGGGGGTGGGGGGGGGGGGGAGGGGGGAACAACGTGGAAGATGGAAAATGAATTCCCTTCTTCACTGAGACGAGCACGAATAAAAGGAAAGGAGGGTCTTTAAGAACGACGGTGGATGGATCTACTCTAGTGAGAGAACTCTTATCGACCAGTGGAAGAAGGGGACTGGTGCTGCTACGAGGCTGCACATGCACATGCATGCACTTGCCTCACAGCGATCTTGCAGCATGCGAGGTGTCACAACCCCATTGGACGCCAACCACTTGGTCTGATGTAGACAGAAACACGGAGGGCAAAGGCATTGTAGAGAGGGAAGGGAGAAGGACGATGGCATTGGGACGAGACGGGAGGGGGCACGAAATAGGCATGCAAAGAAAATGGCTCACAGACAGAAACATGTGAGCGCATATGTACTATGCCATTTCATTTCACTCAGTGAGTGCTGCCATCTTTTCACTTCATTCACCCTCTGCCGCAGATTCATCCCGCTCAAATATTCTGCAGCTATGAAACACTCTGCTGTCCTTTTAATCAACTCACTCACGGCTCCTCCCTGCCACCGTTTTACCTCGCATTCAGCTCCAACAGTTTCATTTCAACTCGCTGCTTTGCCGCACTCACCAGCTCCACCAGTCGTCGACGCAGGTCAGCCTGGCCAGACACCTGTGAGTGAGTGAGTGAGTGAGAGAGTGAGCCAAGCAAAAAGCAGGGAGCATCACAAAGGGAAAGGTTGGCAGAGCTCTGGAAACAAGCCTTTGAATGAGACGACGAAGGGATTGATTGGCAGACAGAGATATTCTATCCAGTTTCAAGCAGCTGCTAGCAACAAGGTTCAGGCAAAGGCGAGAATGCTGCATGTGAAACAACAAACCACACGCAGGGACGCATGATGGATTTTACAAATGGAGAGGGCTGCAGGATAGATGATTCAAATAATGGAGGGCTGCATGCAGAAGTTACCATGCACACCTCCGCTAGTGGAAGCAAAGGGTCTAGCAGCCAGGCACCATAAGTGAGTGAGCTGAAGCCCGACAGGAGAGGTGAGGCGATGCAGAGGTGAACAAAACAGCAGCCAGCGGCTTTCAGCCAACTTTGAGCAAGGTTGACTTGTGAGAATTCTCAAGAGTCAATCCAGTTCAACTCAACGTACCTCGAACGCCAGCTGAGCCACCGTGTGTCCTACAGGAGGAAGGGCACATCTGGGGCCGGGTTTACATGTTTGAGATGTGTTTAAAGTCAATCTCTCTACATTACAGCGTAGTGTACCTCGAACGCCAGCTGAGCCACTGTGTCCGCCAGGAGGGAGGGCAGATCTGGGGCAGGCGGGGACTGCTCATCCGCCACACGCTGGTCCGCGGAATGTGCTGCGCCCGCGTCGGGAGAGGCGGAGGGCGGAAGGGGAAGGCCTGCGGAGTGCAGGGCGGCAGGGATGCGCGCAGGTGGCAGGTCGCCGTGCACCTGGAGGGTCAAGGAGGCACGAGGGAGAGCAGGTAGTCAAAGCAGGACGAATTCAGAGCTGATTTTGGAGTCTATTGAGAATAGGCCTGCCGACCGCAAGGCGGCTGGGATGCGCGTGAGTGGCAGATCGACATGCGGCTGGAGGGATGGGAGGCCGCGGAAGCAGCGGTGAAAGCAGGACGGAATCTGTGCTGTGGAGTCCGGAAAGAAGCAGCTGGAAAATTCGGTAAACTATGGTGCTCCTCGCCTGGTAATCGGGACGAATTAGGGTTTACTCGCGCCAGTCGAGTCTAACCGTTTGTATTCTTCGATCCTGGTTCTCGTATGTGTGCGCACGAGTGACTACCGCCATTTTCTTCGCAACGACGGTGATTGGTCGATAATGAAACCCTAATTCTGTGGAATGGGAAAGGAATATACTAGGCGTTTAAAAGAACCTTAACTCTAACACGGCATAAGGACAACTGCGTGTAGGACAAAACAAGTTCCCCTTTTACGCCAAACGTCGTCGCGGATAGCACTGGCATTCTCAGCTTTGCCAATATCAGGAGTACGACGAGCAGTCATGGACGGATCAGATTGAGCCGGAGAGATTTCATAAA